TTCTGACTCCAAAACTAATTCTGTGTCACTAGGGATCTTTACCCAATACTGTCAGTATAGTTTTTTTTTTTTTTAAAGAAACCAGAAACCCAGAGGACAGACAGGGAAAGCACTGAGCCCAAAATCATACAGTAACTCAGTGGCCAAGCAGAACCAAATGTCAGAGTTCTTTCCCCGCCCACAGATAGCCTATCCCGGTTGTCCAGGGCCCTGGATGCCCAAGGAATCTGGGGGAGGTATTTTTGACGAGGTTAGGTGGGGGGGGGGCGGTATTCTGCTGGCCTCCCCCACATCCTCCAGCAACGCCTGGCCCTGCTGTCCTGCACCTTCCCCACCCTATTGGAGGCTGCGGGGGCAGCACTGGCTGGTTCCCATTCATCAGCTGGCTCTCCTGCTGTTCCAAAAATAAATGCCAGAGAAGGGGACACCAACCGAATGAGCAGCCACATTGTACCCCTCCCAGCCTGAGCCTTTCTCTGGATCCAGCCCCCAGCCCCACCCACTACCCCCACCCCCCAGGAAAAAGCCATCCCCCCTCCAGTTCGGGAAATGATTTAAGAAATGAAGTCACTGTGTGCTCCTGATACACTGGCACAGATGCCTGGAGCTGCCTGACTGGGTCTTATAAATATCTCCCCAAAGTTGCACACTGTGACCCAAGCTGTCTCAGTGCTCAGTCTGAGTTGGGGGGCAGCTGCCTCCCGCCAGCACAGCCCCTCCCTCTGAGAGCACGTTTTCTGATTCCCAGAAAATGGAGCAGTTGTCCCATGCACAGTGTTGAAAGGCAATTACTGGAAATAATTCAAATGTCAGCACCAATGGCTTCTTCAAACAAATGATAATTAAAAGACACAACAGAGCTCCTTGGGGGTAGGATTATTATCATAAGCAGAAAATGAGGGAAAGGGAACCCCATTCATTTGATTGGCATAGACTGAGGTACACAAGCACACATGCTTGTGACTAGGTAGGCTGGAGAATGGCTGTACTTACGATCTGCGGTGTCAACAGATAATTCTGAGATCTATTTTCATAGACATTTCAGAGCAATTCACAAATAATTACTGTCACTGAGCACTCACCTTATGCCAGGTATTGTGCTAAGCACTGCCAATAGATGGTATGCCTAACACAAAGTGGGAACTCAATAAATATTTGTTTGGATGTACAGATGGCTGGATAGGAGGATAGGCAGTTAGATGGATGGACAGATGAACAGCTGGTGGGGGATGATTGGATGAATCCATGAATCAGTGGATAGGTGAATGGATAATGAATGGATGGATGGATGAATGGATGGAAGGATGGATACATAGAAGGACGAGTGGATGAATAGATGATGGGTGGGTGGATGGACGGATGGATGGATGGGAGAAATTATTGGGGGGGGTGGAATTATTTCTGTGCCTCATTACAAGGTTGTAAGAAGTAGTAAACCCATTTTACAGATGAGGAAATGAAGCTCAAAGAGGTTATCTGCCCATGTCACCATCAGATCAGGACCTGCACTAGTGTGTGAACCCACCCCTGGGACTCTAACTTTCTACTGCAGAACGCACTCTAACCATAACCACCACCACCAATAGCTAAAGCTATTCATCGGGGATTCTGTGCCAGGCAATGTTCTCAGTATTTATATGTCTGAAGTTATTTAATCCTCTGACAAACATTATGAGGTAAACTAGGAAAATGTGGCATAGAAAAGCTAAGACTTGCTGAAGGTCACAGAGCCAGTAAGTAGCAGAGCTGGACTCGAACTTCAGTCAGGGCACTTTTCCTCTCTGTTGCCTCTTAGGGGCCAGGCACAAATAATCAGATGTGTTGAATAGAGGAATATGCTGGACTAGTGAACAAAGCAGGGTGAGCTACAGAGGCGCTGGGGAAACAGCTCACTGGCAAGGAGCAGCTCAGGGCCCTGCCTTGAGGCAGGTCTCTGGCCAACAGGGGCCAGACCTCAGAGGGGGCGGTCACCGTCTGCGGAAGCAGCAGCCACCTCGGGTCTGACTTGGCTGGGGCAGTGTGAAGAGCTCAGATAAAAGTCACAATGCCTAGATTCAGTCTGGGCTCTGCCTCCCCTGGGCCTGTCTGCCCTCCTGTAAGGTGAACAGCACTGGGTAACTGGTAAGTGGGGAGGCGCCATCCTAAGCAATAGCCGCAGGAGAGGCAGGAGAGGCCACAAGTGCTGAGCGGGGAGTGAAAGGAAGGCGGGCTCCTCTGCTGAGAAGAAGGCAGGGAGGCACATCGCTGCCTGAATGCCTCCCTCTGTGTGCCAGGTTCCTGGGGCTGCTCCGGGCTCCAGAAGGCAGCCTGAGTGCTAGGAGGCATCAGGCACAGGCCAGGGCATGGCCGCTATGGAGAGGTGGAGGCTCAGAGGTCAGAACACCTCAGTCAGCAGGATCCAGGTACCAGGGGTATGTCTGAACCTCGATACCTACAGTTAGTTAGTGTACCCATGTCAGGCTGGAAGGTCCCCCCATCATATACGGTCCAGCTTCTTGGATTTGAAATTAGCAAGAAACAACCCTGGGTTTTTGCCCGAGGTAAACCTGATGCCGAAGATGCCAGCCCTTTCCATCCACTCTCCAAAGCCATGAGACATTCCCCAACCGACCTGGGCCTCCTTTCCCAAATATCCGGCATACCATCTTCCCATCTCTGCTCCCAAACCCCCTAGTTCCCCAAATTCCCAGCCAGCCACCACATCCTAGAAGCCTATCCTTCCAAGGAGATGAGGACCATACTGACTTTCTTCCCTCTGGCCTCCTCTTCCGTCCAGTGGGCTGTGTTAGAGGTTAAGTGATCTCCACTAAATGCCCTGCAGAGGAAGCTGGAGGCTGAGATTTGCAGAAGGGTCTCAGAAGGCCCTATGAATTCCCAAGTGAGCTTTTCCACGTTGCCTGCAGCCTGAATCTCACCCTAAAACCTTCTTCCTAGTAACACAGCACCCCTGGGTGGGGCCTCCCTGTCAGCTGTCTCCAGGGGCATCCAGGGCTCCCAGGCATGGCCCATTAGCTCAGAATCTAGTCATGTGAGAAAAGTAGGACTCAACATCATGCGTGTAACCTGGTTATGTCCACTCCACCCTCCCCCCCAAAAAAAAACACTAGAAAGAAAATCTCCAAAATAATACTAATCTTAGTTCTGGGGAAATACAAAGCAGAAATGCCTTTGTTGTGTTTGCTATTTCCTTAATTTTCTGCAATGTGGTTATGCTATTGTATAACAAGAAGTCACTTTAATAATAACTTTGTGCATAAAGGATCCCCTCCCCCAAGAGAAGAGAGAAAGGGGCCTGGCCTGGAAGACTGAAGTCTGAGCTCTGGCCCCACCAGCCCCCTTCCAATTAGTCTGAGGAGGTTGTGTGTTCATTCAACTAACTTTTATTAAAATGGCCCAGGGACACTGGAAAATGGTTACTGCCCCCATTTTACAGACAAGACACCTAAGGCTTAGTGATGCTAAATGACATCACACACAGGAAAGCCACCATGACACAGAGCTTAATGCATACCAGGGACTTGAGAAAGATTAGTTAAGTGATGTGGCCGAAAGCTCTCTCTTTTTTTTTAAGTCCACTGATTACTTTTTTCTGCTTCCCAAATGGGACCTGAGACACTATTGCAGTGGGACAGGTGACAAAGGTTCTCTGAGTGCCCAGGTTCCTTCCTGCTGCAAAGGAGAGAGGCAGGGAGAGGGAAATCTGAGGTAGCGCTGGCCTCGGACAAGGGGAAAGCTCCGGTCTCCTCCGCAGGGTGCTTCGGGCCAGCTCCGCACACTCGGACACCAGACATCTTCACTAGCCAGACTGGTGAGGCTCTCATTTTGCCACATGCCAGATCCTAAAATAGCTCTCAGATCTGTGTACCTCTCTCCAACTCACATCATCACCCAGGCCAGGCTGCCAGCAGGTCCTGCCTGGAATACTGGGACAGCTCCCCCACTCGTCCCCACGGGGGGCTCGCTCCCACCCTGCTACATCCCCCACCACAGCCCCAGCAGCCATGGGGAGGTACCCCAAAACTCAGATTGGAGACACAGAGAACAGGGTGGTTGCTAGAGGCGGGGGTGGGGTGCTGGAAGGGGGAAGGTGATCAAAAAGCACAGACTCCCAGTTATCACATAATGGCGACTACAGTTAACAATTACGTATTGCATATTTGAAAGTTGCTGAGAGTAAATCTTAAAAGTTCTCATCACAAAAAAAAAAGAATTATAACTATGTGTGGTGATGGATGTTACACTTAGTGTGGTGATCATTTCCCAAAATACACAAACATGGAATCATCATGTTGTACGCCTCAACTAATATGTTTTATGTCTGTTAGACCTCAAAATAAAACAAAAACAAAAAAACAACCTGGGTCTGGCTGAGCCTCCCCCTGCACACAAGCCCCAGAGGCTGCTCATCACATGAGGTCTGGCCTCCCCAGCAGCGTTCCAGCCACTGGGGGCTTGCCCTCGGCCTTGCGGAAGTACCTGCATCTCCCCAGGGACACACCGTCTAGCCCACTAGGTCCTAAGAGTCAGGGCCCAACACTCATTTCCAGCCCACGACCGCTCCCTCTACCTCATTACCTTCAGACATTAGCTTAGCTAGATGCCTCTTCCTCCAGGAAGGCTTCCCTGACCCCAGGATGACCATGACTATCCAATTGCCTAGAGTCATAAAATAATAGAATTTGAGAGCCCAGGCTCTAGGCCTGCCTCTAATTTTCTTTGGCACAAAGCAAGTCACTGGATCCTCGAGGCCTGCTTCTCCTCCCATAAGCTGAGGTGGCTGGGCCAGCTCTCACGCCACCCTGCTCAATGGCAGCAGGCATCACCTGGAAGCTTGACAGCAGTGCAGTCCCACACCCCACCCTGGAAGTGCCAGAGTCCCTGCAGGGGGTGCCCAGCCAACAGGTTTAACAAGCCCCCCAGGGGGTTCCGATGCTCACACGTAACAGCTTGACAAGGGGGTGGCTGCTGTGACTTCAGGATGCCCCTTCCCATCCCTGCAGGTGGATTTTGAAGATGTGATCGCGGAACCTGTGGGCACCTACAGCTTCGACGGCGTGTGGAAGGTGAGCTACACCACCTTCACTGTCTCCAAGTACTGGTGCTACCGCCTGCTGTCCACGCTGCTGGGCGTCCCACTGGCCTTGCTCTGGGGCTTCCTGTTCGCCTGCATCTCCTTCTGCCACATCTGGGCGGTGGTACCGTGCATTAAGAGTTACCTGATTGAGATCCAGTGCATCAGCCACATCTATTCGCTCTGCATCCGCACCTTCTGCAACCCCCTCTTTGCCGCCCTGGGCCAGGTCTGCAGCAACATCAAAGTACTGCTGCGGAAGGAAGTATAAAGCCAGCTGGGTGAGGGGGGTGGCCCGGCAGGGGGAGGCAGGCCAGGCAGCCCCACCGTACTGTTCCACAGGGGCTGCTGGCAAGCTCTTTCTCATTAGGGGCTGCTATTCCCCCTACCAAGATGGGAGCTCGCAGTTGAGGGAGGCCAGAAATAAAAGACAGCCCTGCCACAGAAGCACAGTGGCCCCTCACACCGCCCCTGCCCCACCACGATGCCCCCATGACCAGGCGCGAGGAAAGATCATTTCCTAAGAGGCAGCTACTGCAAGTCTTTGCATATTCACTTGTACTGTAACAGCATAAACCAGCACTTGGTCCCACTCCCCAACGTGGGCTCAGCCTGTCAATTCACGTGGCTCAGGAAAGCCACCAGAGACTCTTAGGGAGGCGGCCCCAATAAAGGGTTTCGGCTGCATTCGGGGAATGCTGTGGTTTGTGTACGTCTGTAAGGTGGGTGCATGTCCTGATCAGCTCCAAACATATATTCTGCTGACCTGAGGAAGAAGGCAAGTCGGTTGGCTCTTCCCTTGGCCAAACCCAAGAACAAGAAGAGACTTTGGTTTCTCTAGGGAATCTTCTTGTTCGCTGGGTCTCTGCTCCCTCGTGTTCCTTGGAAATTATTTCCCACGGACCTCTTCCCACCCCTGGTTCAGCCAGTGGCCACCAAGAGAAGACACTGGCTCATAGGATGGAAGGACAGGTGACCCTCCCTGGACACCAAGTTGAAGGGGTTTCCCATGAACACCTATAGACTCATCACCTGGGCTCTACAGGGCAGGGCCTGGGTTCAAAACTCTCTGAGCCTCCCCTTTGACATGGCATTCCTGGCATTGCCACTTGGCATGTGTATGCCTTCAGCTCATAGAGATGTGATGAGGGCATAAAGTCTGATTTGTGCCTGTGTGGACCATTCTAGAAATAAAAAAATAGAAAGGGCATGTCCCACCTCCTCCCCACCAAAAAAAATATTTAAAAACTAACCCAACAATCTTACATTTTTTGGCGATGTTTTTCCCAAGTGTTACCTATAACTTAATTCTCAATAAAGAGGGGGTAGGGGGATGGCTTTTGTGATTACATTTGTTTCAGAATCACTATATATTTCTATCAAGAGATTTTCAATAGACATTAGTGCATTAAAGGCTCTGACAAGTCCTGCAGTAACGAAACGTATTTCCGCCAGTATCTCCCAAACCTATTTGACCTTTTATTCCCAGTCATGCAACACCCATTTAAGTGTCATAAAATTCAGGTTCTGTAGCACTTTTCAGGTTTTCAAAGGCATCACCTCATTGGTGCCTGGCCATGAGTCCAGGGTCTGGGGTGGAATGGACACAACATGGATTGGGAGATGGGGCACAGGCTACCTGGATGTAGTTCTGCCTCTCCAACTAGATGCCTTCTCTGGCCTCAATTTCGTCATCCATAAAAACACTCCTAGGGTCCATTTCAGCATTAAAATTTTACCCATTTCTGTTTTTCCTAGTATCTTATTATGAAATTTTCAAACAGAGGGAAGGTGAAAGGGTTTTCCATGAACACCTGCAGACTCACCACCTGGGCTCTACGGTTAACATTGTGCTGCTCTCCTGCTCTGTCACATCTTTATCCATCCCGAATCTCATCTTTCTTCATGCATTTTTAAATAAGCTGCAGATATCAGGATATTTTACTCCTAAACACTTCATCATTCATCCCTTAGTTTTTTTTCCAGACAAGAAAGTTACAGCCCAGAGAGGGCAGCAGACTTGCCTAAAGGTGCACAGCTAGTCAGCACTGGGCTTTGGTTCTAGCCCACTGCTCATGGCTTCATCCTGGGCCTCTTCACATTTTCAAGTGGACTCAGCAAGCCTGGCCTCCTCCAGCTGAAAAGGTTTAAAGTCAGTGTCACTTACATCCTCTTCAAAGGGCCTGCCCTTTACAACACCTCTTAAGTTAGGCCATCAGTTTCAGACTTGGAATCGTGAGTTATGCAGATTTTCCACCATCTTGGCATTTGCTATAACCTGATTTGACTACGACTCCAATTTTTCAAGCCGGCAGTCTTTCTCTAAGGGCAGACTATGGTGGGTGCTCAGTTACCCGCGAAGTTCACGGAACTGGAGAAAGGACTCACGTTTAGATGCATGTATGTTTGAGGAGGTCTCTTCCTTCCAGGAGCCTGGGGGCACAGCAGCAGGGCAGCAAGCTGGGGGCACATGGAGAATGGCCAGTGGAGGGAGTGGACTGCTGCTTTCCCCCATGTGCTCTTACCCAGGTCCTCAGGGCCTCCTGTTCAAAATGCAAAGGTGGGGCCCCAGCTCCAGAGTATGACGCGGTAGTAAAGCCCAGGAATGAATGCAAATACATTTGTGATTCTGCGGGTGGCCCCTCATCCCACTTGAAGAAATACATGTTAGGGTCCCTTCAAGGTGACAGTCCGGAATCCTATTTTCTCCAGAGTTAGAACATGGCACACAGTGAGTGTGGCTATGTCATACAAGAGGTTGGTTCCTGGGTCTTAGAGAATCTTTGAATGGAACTCTGACAGAGTACTTGTGACCAAAAGCAATGGGACACCTCCCTCCTGCCCCCTGCCCCAGCCCAGGTGCCCCTCTGTCATAATCAGGCAGATAACTCTGCAGCCTCTGCCCCCCACCAAGGGAATTCAAGTCTGCAAGACAGCAGATACAGTCACTGTTCGTGAGAGGGAGAAAAAGGGCAAAGCAATGTTAAGAAAAAAATGTTTATTAAGTGCACCTTTTGTAAAGCGGCGAATGAAGCAGACATCTCATTACTGGGCACATCATTCACCAACTGGCACAGTACATGATGATACCACAGAAAGTCATCACAGTAGAACAAAATTGAGGAAATCACATTTTGCATTTAGTGACATTTCATTGCTATTAAATTCAAAAGGTTAAGTAAGCACTTTGAAACCAGGATCTTTGAGAAATGCAGCCTCCTGCAGTCATAACCCATAGACCCACCCCAAAAGGAGACCAAACTGTGTGACCATATTTTTGTCAGGCCCTAAAGAAATAAGGCTCACAGTCTGCAAGTGTTCACATCACTTTTGACCATCAGAACAATGAAACATCCCAATGTACTGGCACCTCCAAACATGCACTGGGTTTACAAACAGGCCTAAAACTGGGGGGAAATATGGTCCACAGACCTCAGGAGTGGGGTCTGGTGAAGGAGGACAGAACACCTCCAGGTAGCCTATGGCCCCCCACACCCATCCTTCCAGGCTTTGGGTGGGGAAAGACTAAGAGGCAGGAAAATATTCTCCAGGACAAGACTAGGAGGGAAGGGGCACACAGCCACTGGTGCTGCCGAAATCAAATGTCAGTGGTTCTGCTGTAAAATACAGAGCCCCCCCCACCACCCACGCCACAGTGAGACCCAAGGTACCACCCAGAGCTCTCACAGATAAAGAAGCAGCCAAGTATCCCAGGTGGTTCTGGTGCCCGAAGAACCTCGTAACTCCAGGGTTCTTGGGAAGGTTGTGTCCCAGTTAGAAAAATCTACTGTGAGTCGCTATCTCCTTGATCTCTGGTGGCCTGTGTTGGCTGGTAGGATGGCAACTTCCCCATGAAGAGCAGAGACTGGGGCATCTCTAGCTGATGAGCAGCGAGGTTCAAATGCCAAGAGACCCCACAATTGCTGCATTCATACAGAATTCCCCTGGTCCTGGTACAAGGGTACTGAGACCCTAAACCGGCATCCTGTTAGCTTCCCAAAGAGCAAGGCCTGGCTGGCGCTGATGCTCTGGGTGCATGTCACAGCAACACTAAGACACGTCTCTCGGTCCAAAGATAATTGTCTCCGCTTCCAGTTTGTCCTGGAGATCTCATACTAAATGCTGAGACTGTGAACACCGGCATTTCAGTGTGTGCCCTTTCTTCTCCCTGAACATCTAGACCCTGCTCACCTGTTCTACTGTGTGCATGTGTGTGTACGTGTGTATAATGCTGTGTGGAGGGAAAAGAGCAAAGTGTGTATGGAGAGAGTGCATCTGGGGCTTTGGGGAAGTGCTCTTGCTGCTCACATGAGTCCAAAAATACGGGTGGAAATAAAAAATAACGCCTCAGAGTGCAACTGAGAGCCTTTCCCAGTCGGAAAACCTCTGATCTATAATGTCCTGTATTTAACGGCCAAAGCATTTCTTGGACACAATCATGTCCTAACTCAAGGCTGAGAGGACATCTGGGAGCATGCTCCTCAGGTAGTAAAACCTTAGAGGCCCTTGGTGAACTGACCCTATAAACAGAACCTGAGGGTCTGCAGCCACAGGGCGCCACTGCCTTTACCAGAGCAGGATGGGGTATCATCGCTGCTGGCACTTTGAGCCAAGCTGGACATACCATGGGAGTCCCACAAATGGTGAGCTGCACAGAGAAACCAATACTCTGGGCAACAGGAGATTCTGAGGAATTCGTCCTTTAAGCAGGCCACCTGTGAGAATTCAGCTTGTAAACATTTATTTTTTTAAAGTGTTCAATTCAGTGGTTTCTGAATCATGAATCTGAATGTTCTCAGCATCGTGCACCACCATTACTAGCTCCAGAAAACTTCCATCACCCAAAAAAGAAGCCTTGTATCTATTAACAGTCACTCCCACCCACCCCAGCCCCAATCCCTGGCAGCCACTGTTCTATAATCTGTCTCTAGAGATTCGCCTATCTGGGCATTTCATTTAAGTAGAATGGTATCATTTGTGGCTTTTTGTTGTGGTTTCTTTCACTTAGAAATGTTTTCAGTGTTCATTCATGTGAGGCATGAATTATTACTTCATTTCTTGTTATTATTCAGTAATATGCCATTGTATAGATACACCATTTTATTTATCCATTCATCAGTTGGTAGACGTTTGGGTCACTTCCACTTTTGGCCTGTTATAAATTATGATGCTATGAACATTTATGTACAAGTTTTTGTGTATCTCTATGATTTCATTTCTCTTGAGTAAATATCTAGGAATGGCATTTCTGGCTCATATGGTAATTCTATGTTTAACTTTTTGAGGAACTGCCAAACTATTTTCCAAAGTGGCTGCACCATTTTACATTCCCACAAGCAAGGCATGACAGTTCCAGCTTCTCTACAGCCTCGCCAACACCTGTTACCGCCCATCTTTTTGACTGTATAGCCATCTTAGTGGGTATGAAGTGGTATTTCACTAGGATTTGTAACTTCCTTAATGATAATATTAAGTGTGCTTATGGGCTATGTGTTTATCTTCCAAGGATAAGATATGAAAATATGTCTACTCATTTGTTTATTCAGATATTTTCCCACTTTTTAAATTGGCTTATCTTTTTATTTTAAGTTGTAAGAGTTCTTGTTATCTTTCGGATACAAGTTTATGATTTGCAAATACTTTCCTCCATTTTGCGAGTTGTCTTTTCACCTTCTTGATATTGTCCTTTGAAGCATAAAAGTTTTTCACCCCATTTTTATGAGGTCCACGTTATCTATTTTTCCTTTGCTTGTGATTTTGGGGGTCATATCTAAGAAACTGTTGTCTAATCCAAGGTCACAAGGTCACAAAGATTTATGCCTGTCTTTTCTTCTAAGAGTTTTATAGTTTTAGTTCTTACATTTAGGTCTTGGATGCATTTTGTGTTTATTTTTGTATATAGTGTGAGGTAGGGGTCCAACTTCATTCTTTTGTATGTGGATATCCAGT